GGTCATCGGATAATCTTGGGTCCTATTCCAAATCAATCAGCTTTAAATGATAAAAAAATTAAAAATACTGACGAGGGAAAAAACATACAAGTACCACCGCAGACAAATAAATCAGTGAAGACAGGGGTCTTCAAAAGTTTCCCAAAACCGAGATAAAGTAGACGTCCTTGCTAGAATTTTTATTACCCAAATAATATTTTAAAGGGTAGTAAATTCATTAAAATTTTGCCCACCCGGGCCCGGGCGCTTTTCCCTCCCCAAATAAATATTTAAAAAAAAAGAGAAACTTCTTTCCACTTATTATAGAAGGTTTTTCTTTATTTTGATTTCTCTTTTAAAGCGATTTTGTTTTTAAACCTATCCCAGATGGAAACAGGCGCGGAGTATTTTGTTTTAAATTACTATATTTTGTCAATGGCCCCAATTTCTATCAATTAATCCCTTCGATTAACAGCTAAAATAAATTCGGAGGGAAGAATTCCTTTCGATTTCTATTATGTAAATACACAATAATATTTGTTTCCCCTTTGGTGATTCACAACATGTCATGTTAATGATTGGGAACGGGAACAAATTTCACGCCTCCGTCGCTGGAAACGCAGTATAAAAGAAGTTCGGTAATGTATTTCTTACATTTTGTATCTTCTACAGGAAATTACTAATTATTTTGTAGTACACAGTGGGTTATGTATATATTTTATTGTTGTACATGAATTTGAAAGCTTTAAATAGATGACCTATATTTTGTAAGTCCGAAAAGCTAATTTTAGAAGTAGCTTTTGTTTAACGGTCATTCGTGTTTAGTTCCTTTTTTTAACTATTTTTATGTATTGTTTGTACATGTGTTACAATTACCATAGTAATTAAAAAAAAAGACTTCATATTTTGTTTATTTTGAGTTCCAAAGAAAATACATTTCTAGCCACCAAAGTTCATGATGAACAATGTATTTTGTTCGCCCACTCATCTATGATATACAATTCTGGTAAAATCCAATTAAATCCAATTAGTAATTTAAAAAGAAAATCTGGTCATCAGATGTCTACTTGTTCATCGTAAATCGCTACATTTCTTGCGTTGGCGCCCTTTGGTGGTTTGCATCAATGCTTTTCTTGTCATATCATGATATACAATTCGTCGCGAAACATGTTACGGACATTTTGAAAAATAAAGTCGATGGAAGTTATTGTTTTGGCTTATTTACATGTGAAATTTTATATTTCTTACCATATTTAGGTGTTGATATTTGTAGGAAATGAGAAACATTATATATGCACAATGTTGCACGACTCTCATATCACATTACAAGTGTTATAAGTCTTGTTTGTGTTGGGATTACTTTCCTTACCAGTTAAGTATCAGTGAAAGCATATTCTTTAGAATTTGATATATGGCCCTTTTCTCGTTGACAGAGCATACGATAAGTATAATTTTGCAAAATTAAATGATTTACAAAACATCTGGAATAATGTGCAATAGTACTTAATCTAAATAGGAAATGATCTGTGTGTAGGAATGATTTGGTAAGGTATCGTTATGAGCGCATTTTCGCGCGGAGCTTCTAAATTGCTGCATTGCACAAACATTTGTATTTTTATCACTTTTTGTTGTTGTTATTTTTGATAGACGAAAAACGAAATACATGTATATGATTATAGTTGAATGATCAAGCTATATTTAAATATATTCAAATACTCAATGTTTATTTTATCTAGCAAGTTTTTATTCCACTTAACACAGGCTACATTAATACTACAACATGCGCAGTTGAGGCAAAGACTTAGTGAATATAGTGATAAAAGAAGGCTTAATATACTGGAGAATTTACTTAATAAAATGGACCGAGTCGACCAGTATATAACAAAAATTATTTGTTCACAACAAGTGAGTTTATTTAAGGATTGAATTAGAGAAATTCTTAACAGATGTCTGCTGTATTTAACAGTATCTTTACTTCCAAAGCTGTCATATGTCGAAGAAAATGACAAAAGTGTAAAAATTTAGTAAAAGCTCGTAATTCAATTTCCCTCATATACTTACAATTGAAAAAAAATACTTATTATAAATCGACAAAAAATGATATCAGAAAGTCCTATGTACCTAAGTTTCTGAGGAAACCTGATAAGATAATCAAAAATAATGATTAAAATTCTAAGTCTACAGAGCGTAGCTGCTCTCTGGGAAACCTGGATCGTGGGAAAAGGTGGTCATTTGTACAATACGTTAAGCGTATATATGCTTAGACGATACGATACAGGAAAAACAGCTGACAGGAGAAATCTGGAAAATAATATGAAAATAAGCAATAATACAAATCAGCTATGAAGAACAATGGAGGAATATAAAAAAGATAAACTTAAACAGTACGTAAAAAATAACAAGGTCTTACGCTGAAGAACAACAATACATAGGATAGTATACGACAACTTATTAAAAAGTTCTGGAAACAAGTGATCCATCGGAAGCATTAATCACAACAAAATTACAAGAGAATTGTAGAATCGGTTTGATTGAGTCTGTACATGAGTCACATGTTTCATTGCAGACATGTACATTTGATAAATAAATGTGACAATTTTGACCAGTTTTACTTGTTTTCATGGTGAATTGACATGGTAATGTAATTTGGCAATACAATGCATAAAAGGTGTTGATTATTATTTGAACATATCAATATACTCTAAAAAATATAGTAAATTATTGCAATTTTTATCATTTAAGTACATATAAATAGACATCCATATTTTTTACAAATGTCCTGCTAAATGATCATTGTGAACTTGCGAACGGGATTCCGTATGCTTCAATGAAACTTTATTAAATTAACTAAACAAAATTAGTCTCGTATACTATTTAAGAAAGATCCTTTATATAATTTTACTTATTTTAGAATGGCAAATGAGACTCATACTCGCAGTTTGTTATTTTAAAATGACCAATGAAAATTCTACTTATATTCTGTCCTTTCCTGTAAATGTTACATGAAAACAAAATGATATTAGACAGCATTTGGCTAAAAAATCTGAACTTCAGGGTTAACCAACTGAACAAAAGTAAGCATGGTATAGTTTGATTTGAAAAAAAGAACGCCCAAAACGGCACAATTTAAAATGTAACAGGCTCGGTTTGATTGAGGATGGTCATGACAGGTACTGGTAATTGCGAGCTACCGTCCACACCTAGCACCAACTTAAGCAGAATTCAAAATGTGATATCCACAGATGAGTTCATACGGTGGTTTTCATTGAACTTTCAATGCGACAGGTTCGTATCAATTTATGAAAAGCGGTGTATGGTCTCAAAATTTTAAAATGCATGTGCCATTCAAAAGAAAGTAATGTGCGGAACTAAAATTAAATAAAATTTTGAAACGGGATCAGTGGTTATGAATATCTTGTAAAAGGGTAGTCGCTCGGGTGCAATGAAACAACGGTATTACATGAAAATTGCAGACGCGGTTTGATTTAGCCGGTTTGTGACAGCTAATAAAAAAGTGCAACATCCCCCACGGACCATAGTACTAGCTTAAACTACTGTGCTGTAATAAATAATGCCGCAGAAACATAAAAAACAACATAAAAACAACAATATTTAAGGTATAAGGCCTCTAATCGAAATTTGTGTATGTTTTTACAAAGGCATAGGAGAGAAATTCAAATTATTTGTTAATTACATTCCTTAAAGTTTGCATAAAGAGAATCATAATTATTGAACTATTCGATAAAAGAAAAGAGTCTGCCCCTGAGTTGTGAGTTATTTTGCTTTTTTTGTCATATTTAAAGGTAGATGACTCTAAACAGTTGCGGGAAACAACTAATTTGATTTTAAATGTGTGATTGTGTCTTTATTCCCAGTAACGGTGTGAACATATTTCAAATTATTTGCGCTAGATTTTAATCTATATAGTGGTTTATGAAAACTGATTTAATTTTTTTGAGATATGCTCCTTTTTGAACGTTAAAACATGGAAGCTTACTAAGATATATTTTGATAAAAATTTTTTTTAAATGTTTAAAACTTTTCATTATAACTGGAAATAAAGTAGCTGAAAATGATGTAAATAAAATTAAGTCTCGGTATGCTTTATTTCGAGTTATTTGCTCCTGAATTTGACGGAAATCTAAAATGCAGGCGACATATATTAAGCATGATGATAAAGTCTTTGAGCCGACCGACTAGAAAACGATAGAAAGAACTAAAATGCCACAAACACAACGATGATTCCATGCTAAACGATCTTCAGGTATCAAAAACAAGTCTTTTTTTATGGATAGCAGTACATGGAGTAATTTCAAGCTATCGTACATGTCCACTATCAAATTTTTATAAACTTTCGAAACACTAACAAAATGTATTTGTATAATCTGACCTATTTTGTGTAATTTTCTCTCATTGAGATTTAGTTAAATTTAATTTCGTCTGCTGTAAGATTATTTTGCACAACAGTACTTAAATGTGTCCTTTTGACGAAACCACAAAATTTCATGCCTATATAAATAATTTAAATCACTGTACATATAACTTTTCCACATTTTGGCGTCCGCCGAAGCGCGACGCCCTTATGGAATTAAATCAGATTTTATGAAAGGGCGACAGCAACTTCTCGGGCCTTTTCGTCGGTGATAATAGCCGATCATTCCGATTGTTATTCTTTTGTATAAACTTAACTTTGTTTTCTGAATAGCGTTTCTATAATTAAGTCCGCTTACGAACAAGTGATTTCGTATGCTTTAAATAACCATATCGATGTGATTTTATCTAACGTGTACGAACTATACATTACGAACCTGTATTGGAAAAACTAAAGATTAACGCGTCAAAAATGTAAATAATATATACTTTATAGCTGATCCGTGGTGTATTGATAGCTTTATAAATGTATTTTGCTGGGATTGATTTTTATATCAAGTCAGTTTAAACATGTTGTATTCGTTAAATGGCTGATTGAAAAAAAGTGTATTCATTCAAGAATTAAAATAAAACTATATATATATTACTTTATTCATTCAAGGATTTAATAATAAGACACTTTGGAAATGAGTACACACACAGAAGAGAAGAAGGAAGAATGTCCGAAGTGTCCGGAGCCGTTTACCGCACCAGGAAAGTGTTTGGATGAAGTACGTTTAGTTTTCGATGATCAACAAGAACTGTATGTGTCACAAAACCTACTTATACTGTCTTCACCAGTTTTTGAGGCCATGTTTAAGAATGATTTCAAAGAAAAGCAGCAATCAGCAGTCTTCTTGAAAGGAAAGAACTATTCAGAATTTCATGCATTTTTACTGTGTATTAATCCAGGGACATTTAAGCCAGTTACAGGTAAATAATGATATTTTGTAAATGACACAAATAAGTGCATGGTACATGAAATCTTTAATTTCATGCACATATTATCGTTGTTTAAATCTATCTTTGTTTTTATCAGCTTAATAAAGTCATTTCGTTTAACAGAAAAGAGTAGATTCTAGTAGATGAAATAATACCTAAGTAGCAAACAATGAAGTACAACTGAGAAATGATATGCTTGCTATGTGCTTTGCTTTGTGTATTGAACGTTACTGGTTTTTTATAATTACATGGTAAAAGAAAATCGGTTTGTCTAAAGATTGTTTTGATCTTTAACAAACGGTATTGCAGAATTAATATAAAGACCGGTGGGGACATTTCAACTTCATGATTCCCCGATTTCATCTCAGTGAATTCACAATTTTAACATCATGAAATCATCAATGCACGATTTCAATTTAACGAATACACAATTTCATCTCCACGAGTCCACGATTTCACAAATAAGCGATTTCAACTTCGTGTTGAATTCACGATTTTAACTTCATGAATTCACGGTTTCAACTTTTAGAATTTAACTTCGATGTGATATATGATTTAAACTTCATAAATTGACGGTTTCAACTTTAAAAATTCAATTTCGTAGTGAATTCACGATTTTAAACTTCATACATTCACGATTTCAACTTAATTAATTCACTGTTCCAACTTAAAAAATTTACTTACTATTTCAGCTTCACGAGTTCCACTTAAGGAATTGAAATCGTAAATTCGTGAAGTTGAAATCGTAAATTCCCGAAGATTGCGAATTCAAATCGGGAATACACAAGTGTCCCCAGCGATCTTTCGTACTTTCCTGTCTTATTGCATTTCTTTCTTATTTTATTTTTACAGAAGCCAATGTTCTGTGTATTGTACATATAGCGGAGGAATATCAAGTTGACACTATCATCCAAAGATGCAAACTGATTATGAAAAACTGGCTCGAGAAAGAATATGTATCTGCTAAAAGAAACAATTCTTTGCCAGAGGATTATTTTTATAGCGTAGAGCCAACAAGACAATGTTTGAGTATTCTTACGACGACTTTGGCACTGAATTACAAATCACTTGTAGACAACGCTGTGGACATTCTCTCCAAAATGCCACATAGAATATACTATGGTTCGTATAAACCTGACACTCTCAGGACCAATCAGCATTCAAGTAAACTAGCAATAAACGGGAAAAAAATCACTGTTCGTGAAATAATTGATGAATGTAAAACAGTATTCGAGACCCTTCCTGCAGAGCTTAGATGTACAATATTAAGCAAAAAACTAGCATTGTATGAAGACAATACCACATTGTAGCTGTTCGTGCAATATCTATATGACACGATGCTTTTTAAAGGTGTTATTTTGCTTTACAGAAGACAGCGTTCATTAAAAATTATTTATCAATACGATACCGGTATGATTAGGTTTACAAAATGTTTAATAAAGTCGTTATTTTTGAAAATATCTATATATACATGATTTTTTTCTCTTTCATACTGATTGCTGTGTTCAATGGTATGGTATCAATGCTTTAATAAAAGTATATTTTTGTACATTGGAAAATAAATGAATAAACTGTGTTTACAGCCACACTTACACCTGTAATATTAATACGACTATACCCCAAGCAGAGCTTAGTTACGTCTTCTAAATAACTGTTATCTTCCGCTTGGGTAGGTGCAGCTGAAATATACGATGTCCTGCTTGGATCAGTTAAAGGACACCTAATGGAATGCAAGTTTTTTTTGTTTTGTTTTTTCTAAAAACTCTTGTGCCGCCCTATTGTATTTTTTAGAGGAAGTAGCAAGACTTAGCATTCTCTAAATAAACTTGAATTTGTCGCATGCTTAACTTTAATCCTTGTGTAAATCACTACAATCTTCGTGATGATTTTTATCGCATGTTTCTTTGGAAATTGTAGTTTATTTACAGTTCCGGTGACTAATGTGAAAGTTCTACGAAAGAGAATGTTAAATATCGCGACTTCTATATTAAGAACAGACTACGCTCAGTGTCAGAATAATCATACAGTTTCACTGTAGATAGTTTTTTTTTTACAACGAGTCAGCGATACACTGAAGTGTATCAGATTTCAATGTACAGTTTCATTTATAAACCTGTTGCTGGGAGTATAAAATATGTATACATGTTTAAAGGTCAAATCGTTTAAGCTAGCAAATATGCGCGTTTTGAGAGAGATTTTACATCAGTTAGGAGAGACACGCTGATAGTGTGTAGCGGTTATTTTTTTTATTTCGAAGATAATTTTGTTGTTTTGTAGGGAGTTTTGTTGGTTTGTTGAAGTTGGTTGAATATAATTGTGATTGATCAGGGTTTATTGGTTGTAATTAGTTGTTTTGGTTGTTGAGTTATATCTGTTTGTGAAGATATAATTGGTTGATATTGGTTGAATGTTTGTGTGGTCAAGATTATATTAGTTGATGCTTTGTTTTGAGGATATATGTAAATATTGGGTGCTTTAGTTTGCTTTTCTGATGCTGATTAGATTGTGTGAAGTTAATATTGTTGGATGAATGTTTGTGGTTTATATTGTATCTTAGAGTTGTAAAAATATTCATTTTTGTGTTCTTCATTGTGTGGTGATTTTATTGTTTTGTTTGATCATAAGTTGTTTAGAGCTTGGGCTCGCCAGGTGTTTTGTTTCGTATAAAAGACGTATACGTGGAAGCTAATTCGTATAAGTGGCTGATAAGTGATGGTGTAAATAATGATCAGAGTTCAGTGTTTTGGGTGTAAATAATAGTCAGAGGTTGTTGTGTAAATGTATATATTGATTTGAGATAGAAAAAGATAAAAATACCTAAAAAAATAAGTGTTAACTAAACAATTACATGCTAGTTTTCCAACTGAGAATATTTCACTTTTATGTCAGGCGGTGCTGCCCAGCCTCCATATCTTGGAAATTGGTTCCAGTATTTATTACTGAATCTTTCCTTAGATTAAATAACATCAAGGCAGTCATTTCTCCTGAAACTAGGTGTGTGATACAAGAGGCTAGATAATGTAGAATTTTCTAAGTTAAAAAGGCCATAATTCTGTCAAAATCCAAACAAGTGTTATGGGATTTGGATAGTGACCTCCAATAGTGTGTCAAGCTTCAACCCATTCCCTTTAGTAATTTTGGATATACCAACCTGCATGCAAATACTTAATCAAAGTGTGACGCCGACGGCGATACTGACGTCTGGGTGATTACAATAGCTGTCCCGATTTTTCGAAAAGTCGGGCGAAAACAAAATTCTTGTGAGAATGTAGTATTCAATATTTGTTTCTGAGCGAAAAACATGTAGGTTAGACCGAAATATCGTATCCGTTCTGTGTATTATAACTATTGCGTTCGAAGTCCTTTCCGAAGTTTAACGGAAAAGGTCGAGAAAATGCAATTGTATACCTTCTTACAGATCTTCAGAACACTTAAACAAAAAAGTAGAAAATATGTATAAAATCTGCATGTATACATGTTTTACATATTGTTTTCTTTAGTTCGGTTGATATAACTGTTTTTTGTAGAGTAAATTTTACTGCATGATTGTTTTAAAATTATCAAATTTTTGGCTTAAAGATATATTATGCTCAAAGTTGATATTTGAAAAGCTGATAGTTACAACACAATCTCTATTTCAATGTAAAATAAACAAAAAGACACACAGCGAAAATTTATTACGCACACTACAGGTAATCACAGTATGATTACACAGTGTCAGTAAAAATCTTCGCCATTTAGTCAAGTTTGCAATGTTTCGCTCGCTTGTTCCATGTGTGTTTGCAACCATACTAGTTCAAAATGTATTACCGGTGCCAGTGGTTGCAGATTGCTGCTGGAGATACTATCAAGTAAGTTTGGACTCAAAGACATTTGTCCATTTCATCAAATATTTTTAGCGGTTTTTTTAAATACAATACTTCAGTTTAGTTTAATTTGCAGAAGAGAGTGTGGGTGATTTGACCAAGACTAATTAACGCGTCTAACATGAGCTCAGCCCAGTTTAAAAAATTGTACAAAAACTTGTTAAGGGTCTTACCATGGGTAAATATGGGTAGCGTAAATAAGCTATTTAAAGAGATACTAGTAAAGATCTCTCATCTCATTAATAAAACTTTTTACTGTTGTATACAAGATATTTCCATCTTTGAGATATTGTTTTATGTTAGGATTTATAATTGTAATGATTTGGTAGAACTTGCAATGTCAGAAAAACAAATGTTTTGCGCATTGTATATATAGCGGAAGAATATCAAGTTGACTCCATCACCGATTATAAAAAAATGGCTTGAGAAAGAATATGTATATGCTAATGGCAAATATAATGATAATGTATATTATCACGTCAATGTTTAAGTATTCCTACGACCTCTTTGGCACTAAGTTACAAATCACTTGTAAACAACTCTGTGGACATGCTCACCTAACTGCTACCGCCAAAATGCCACATAGAATATATTATGTCTCGTATGTACCTGACACTCTCAGCACCAACTATTATTCAGATATACTAAAGGTAAACGGAAAACAGATCACTGTCCGTGAAATAATTGATGATTGTAAAACAACAGTATTCCAGACCCTTCAGACCCTTCCTGCTGAGCTTAAATGTACAATATTAAGGAAAAGACTGGCACTGGATAAAGACAATGTCGTCAAGTAACCACTTGAAATAAGTGATCTGGGCAAGAAAATAACTTTAAATGACACAAGGTGTTATTTTGCTACACAGAAGACAAGACAGCATTTATTTCAATCAAATATCAATAATCTATATCTGTTTAATTACGTTTACATGTTTTTAAGGTCAATTCTTCTAATAAAATCGTCACATTATCTTTGAAAATATGTTTTTTGTATGAGGTTCAGTTCAAACAAAGAAAACACAGTTAAAAACGTGACTATGGCTTTATTTTTACTTAGTTCTCAATGACGTACATCTGTGTTTTAAATTATATCCATCAAGCGCGTGGTCATTATCATGCACTTCTTTCTTATTGTTATTTTGATAGACGAGAAACATGTAACTTTATAATAAAGCTATTTTTTAAAATGTATTGAAATAGTTAATCTTTTTTTAAAAACTACCATTTATTTTGTTTAAATTCCTACTTTACACATAAATACAACAGGTTGTCAACTAAAATATAGAAAAATGTTAGGCAGTTGAAATAAGCATGTACTTATTGAAACAGTCATAAACATACTTGAATAGTGATGATGATGATGATGTTAGTGGTGGTGGTGGTAGTTTTGGTGGTTACTTACCAACTTAATGAGTACAATAAACTACACACTTCTTGTTTTCTATCGAAACGAGTTTCTTGATTGGAGAAGACTGAATTGTTCAGTGTTTAGGACTACTTATTTCTTTTCATGTACCGTTATTTATGAGCTGAATTTATTCAGATTAAGAATTGATATCGATTGTATAAAGCGTTGTTGTTCATGCCTTATTCACGTCAAATTACAAGCGGGGACCATCCGGTATTGATGGATCGATTGGACACCGTTGATAATTTAAGATCGGAGAGAAACATTTCAATCATGTTCGGGTAGAAGTTGGCGATCATTCCCCCTCCCATTAGGCATTCGGACGGTTTCCGAAGGGTACTCGCCCGGTCACCTGGTGAAAACCTTTAACATCTTCTTTCCTGACACCGGTCGATATTCTGAAGGTAATCGACAGCTTACCGTACGATAAATGTCCAATTGCCTTCCGTTATCTGGCCTATTTGCAACAATCGTACGGTGACGGTAAAGTAAACGTGCGATATCCGGTCGGCTGTCGGACGGTATTCGTATGGCATGCTATCCCATTTTCTGGCCGTTATTCACACCCTTCTTTTGTTGGCATTTTTCCTTGCCTTCTTCCCCTCTGATTTCTCCCCCACCCCTTCTTTGCTTTCTGTTTTGCAAGGTACATTACACTCTGAAATCAAAGTTTTCCATAAAAGATTGAAATGAAACTTAAAAACTTTAAGAAACCTCTGACGTGTGTGAAAACTGATAGAATATGTGTGTGGATAATTGAGTTTCTTAATACTCACCATATCGGTTGCCCGTATAGGCGAGATCTCCAGAAGAGTATTAGTCGTTTTAGATTTTTGAGGACAGCGCAAGATACAGATAGCAAGATGCCCCAATTTCACAAAAAAATATGAAAAACAGTATCAATAAATCAGAACACCAAACAATATTCTTATTCTTTACCTATCCAAGTGTTTAAGTACTCATACACAGGACCTCGCTTTAAAGTCTCGTCCGAAAGATTTTTAGTTATTTCAGTTGGTCATCACGGGAATCGATCCCACAATGTCCAGATTACAAGGCTAGTGATTTAACCGATTCAGCTCTGCACGCTGGCTAATGAGAGAATGATGGTTGTATTGAGGACTATGACAGCAA